TTAATGACTTAAGTGATGTTGATTTTTTAATTATGTAAAGATGAAAAGATGTAAATATGTTAAGATAAACTCTTTCTTTTTTAAATTCTTTAATTCCACCTTGTCAGGGGAAAAAAAAAACAGAAATAGTAAAAGAATCACAAAAAAGTGTTTTGTAAGGTGTATTGTACATTAAATGTACAAGTTGAATTATAAATTCATTAAAATATTTTTAATAAAAAAATATAACAAATAATTTCATTAAAAATGTTTTAATAAATTTATAGGGTAAATTTCACTTTTAATCCCACAAAGAATAAAAAGAAAGTAAGAAGAATAAAGAAAGTGACAAGAACTGGGAGTCAAAACCTAGAGAAAGAGAATTACATTTGGTGGAAAACTATTTGTTCTAGAAAGTAGCAAAGTTAATGTTGGAGCTTTTATAAAGAGGGCTAAAATAACTCAAGAGTCTTTCAATCTTCTCCGTTCATCACTTCCCTTCAATTGCTTGCAAGTTTCTTCATTTACATTTGCTTGACCACATTTGTCAAGTAAACGTGAAAATTGACTTGCAATAAATATGATGCATGTATATACCAATATGTAATATAAGAGTGGAAGAATTTCAAAGTAGGAACTAATTTCTAGATAATTAAGAACTAATTTCTAGACAATTTAAATCCATGTAAATGTCAATATGTAATATAAGAGAAATTTCAAATTAGAAAAGTAATATGATGCATGTATATGTCAGTATGTAATATAAGAGTGGAAGAATTTCAAAGTTGGAACTAATTTCTAGACAATTTAAATCCATGTATATGCCAATATGTAATATAAGAGTGGAAGAATTTCAAAGTAGGAATTAATTTCTAGACAATTTAAATCCACGTATTTGCCAATATGTAATATAAGAGTGGAGGAATTTCAAAGTAGGAACTAATTTCTAGACAATTTAAAGGCAAAAATATGACATAAGGACCCAAACTTACACCAAATTCGCAATTTCGGACCCAAACTTCGATTGCCCTCAATGAAGGTCCCAAACTCCACGAAATTCTCAAATAAGGTCCCAATTGGACGGAAAACTAACTTCCGGTTAAATCTCCTATTAATTTCGTTAATGTCCGTCACATTTCACACCCGCCACTTGAAAAAAATTGGTTAAATGCTAATTTTGGTCCCTCAACTTCATTGAGTTTCACTTTTTTGTCCCTCAACTTCATTAAATTTCACTTTTTTATCCCTCAACTTTATTAACTTGTACTTTTTTGGTTCATAAACTATTTTTTGTACTTTTTTGGTCTTTAAATTATTTTTTACACTTTTTTAATCCCTTAACTTTAATAACTGCACAATTTTGATACTTTCATCAGTTTAAGCCATTAACTCCGTCCACTTAGTATTTTTTTTATTTTTTTGATGACATATATAATCTAACTAGAAAAAAATGATAACATGAATAAATAAAATAACATGTAGATAAATCTTTATATTTTTTATAAAAAAAATATAAAAACCTCTCTACCTATTTTCTTCCCCCTCTTTCTT